ACTAAGGAGACAGAGAAAACTTACAAATTCCACATTGAGTGGTACTGGATGGGAGGCCAACAGAGTGTACTGTGGGAAGAATGGGATGAGTGGGCTGGTGGTGGCAGATCCCACTCTGCTAATATTCATTCTGAGAAGAGCCACACTCTGCGTGGAGCCTGCTGTGAGGACTGAACAAGTTGAGTGCTGGGAGTGGTAGGGAAGGAAGAAAGAGGTGTGTAGTGCCTGGGATTCCAGAGGTCTTTCAGAAAGCAAGTTAGGGGATCTCCTTGAAAGGCAGGAATTAGGTCTCTTAATGTAGCAGATGAAGGAACCCAGGGAGATGAGAGCCCACATAGAACTTCTGAGCAAGGTCACATCCTGGGGCGCCTGGGTGGCTCAGTCGGTTAAGCGTCTGCCTTCAGCTCAGGTCATGATCCTGGGGTTCTGGGATCGAGCCCCATGTCAGGCTCCCTGCTCAGCGGGGAGCCTGCTTCTCTCTCTCCCTTTGCTGTTCGCACCACCAGTCCTATTCCCTGTTCTCTCTCTCTCAAATAAATAAAATCTTAAAAAAAAAAGTCACATCCCAAGAGAGAGAATTCATTGTAGCCAGAGGCGGGAGGTAAGAAAACTGGATGGGGTTCCTCTCCTTCATTCTCCTAACGGTTTCAAATACAAATAAATAGAAAGGAATTAACACAACACCTGTGTAGATACTCTAAAAATATGAAATAGCAAAACTTACCTAGAGTTTCCCTGGAGAAAACACACAAGAAAAATGTTCCCACAAAGCAGCTGCGGATAATACACCAACATTCTAATGTGAATCAAACCAACCTAATGAAGCAAATGCAGTTAAGAAATACAAGAATTCCTCACACCTCTCAGGATGGCAAAAATAAAAAAACACAGGAAACAAGGGTTGGTGAGAAGGCGGAGAAAAAGGAATCCTCATGCGCTGCTGGTGGGAATGCAAACTGGTGCAGCCACTGTGGAAAACAGTATGGAGGTTCCTCAAAAAATTAAAAATAGAATTACCGTATGATCCAGTAATCTCACTACTAAATATTTTCCCAAATATATATATATGCCCTCCTAGGTTTATTGCAACATTAACTGCAATAGCCAAATTACGGCAGCAGCCCAAGTGCACATTAATAGATGAATGGATAAAGATGTGGGGTTTACACACACACACACACACACACACACTGAATATTACTCAGCCATGAAAAAGAATAAAATATTGCCACTTGCAAAAACATGGATGGATCTGGGGTATAATACTAAGTGAAATAAGTCAGAGACAAATGATTTGACTTATATGTGATTTCACTTATATGTGGAATTTAAGAAACAAATGAAGAAATAAAGAGACAAACCAAAAAAACTCTTAACTACAGAGAACAAACTGATGGTTGCCAGAGGGGAGGTGGGTGGGTTGATGGGTGAAACAGGTGATGGGTATTAAGAGTAACTTATCTTGATCAGCACTTAGTAATGCATAGAACTGTGGAATCACTATATTGTACACCTAGAACTAATACAACACTGTATACTAACTCTACTGGAATTAAAATTAAAAAAAAAAACAAAAAAACAAGAACTCAGGGAAGATTTGTCCCTGAAGTGAAACAGAAATTGGTAATAACTTAGGAAACAGAAAATGACAAAACCATTTCATGAATGAAGACTAGGGACACCTGAGTGGCTCAGTCAGTTGAGCAGGCGACTCCTGGTTTCTGCTCAGGTCATGATCTCAGGGTCTGAGATGGAGCCCCACATCAGGGTCCATGCTCAGTGGGGAGCCTGCTTGTGGATTCTCTCTCCCTCTGCCCCTCCCCTCATTCATTCGCTCTTGATCTCTAAAATAAATAAATTTTTTTTTTTTAAGATTTTATTTATTTCATTGACAGAGAAAGAGAAACAGCGAGAAAGGGAACACAAGCAGGGGGAGTGGGAGAGGGAGAAGCTGGCTTCCCGCCAAGCAAGGAGCCCAATGCGGGGCTCGATCCCAAGACCCCGGAACCATGACCTGAGCTGAAGGCAGCCGTTTAACCAACGGAGCCCACCCAGGCGCCCCTAAAAGAAACAGATCTTAGAAAAAAAAAAGACTAAATTAAAAGGAGCACAAGTGAATCTGGAAACCATAGGAAGCATGTTACGGAACAGAGATTAGAAATGAGAACAAGCAAACAAAAAGATAAAAAGAACTAAGAACAAATGATAGAAACATGATAGGCAGAGGATATCCAACAATATTCTAAGCAGGGGAATACTACAAATATTTACGAATGTAATTCAAGAAAACTTCTTAAATACCTTAGTACATGTACTTGGCCCAGGAGGGGAATGTTTCCTTTTCGTTAGGATGTTTTTCGCGACAATTGCCTCTTCTCACTTGCCTGATTTTCTTCCAACATTAAAGTCTTCTTACATCTTCCGCCCTCCTGTAAAATGGCTCATTCTGTAATTATCTACATAGCCCAACCTGTCAGATGATCAAGTTGAGCCCTCTGACCATCAATCTAGACTGGCTGCCAAGTTGCTTCACAACTGTTATCCAGGACTCCCATGTTGGACCCCAGTCCTAGACACATTTTTTGATTTGCTCTCATTTTTATGGAGCTTATCCAGTAACTGACCAGTGAATTCAGGGAAGAGAATTTGCACGTCCAAAAATGTCTTTATTCAATGCTCACCCATGGCAGTGCATGTGTGTGTATAAAATATCATTGGATATATAATTCAAACTTTTAAAGACACTACCCCACGCACGGATCCCTAGTTTCTAGTGTTGCTGTTGAGTATTATTCTCAATTCTTTTGCTCTCTGGTAAATTTTATTCTCTTCATGTCTGGTGTCCTAAAATTTCATGGTGATGTGCCTTCCCATGGGTCTTTAATATTTATTGTGCTAATTCAATAATAGCTTTTTTTCAATCTTGAAACTCAAGTTTATCAAGGAAATTTTATTTTCTAATAAATTTCAACCACTGCTTTATTTTCTCCGTTCTCTTCCTGGAACTCCTATTGGTTGTATTTAAACCTCCTGAATTGATTCCAATTTATTTTCCCCCTCCATTTTTTTTTTTTTAAGATTTTATTTATTTAATTGAGAGCGAGCGAGCAAGCAAGCAGGGGGAGTGGGAGAGAGAAGCAGGCTTCCCGCTGAGCAGGGAGCCCGATGCGGGGCTTGATCCCAGGACCCTGTGATCATGACCTGAGCCGAAGGCAGATATTTAACCGACTGAGCCACCCAGGCGCCCCTCCCCCTCCATTTTGGATTTCTGTTCTAGAACATTTCCTTGTCTTTTAATATTCTCACTGAATGTATTCATATTTTAATTTCTTCTAACATTTTATTAGTATCCTGTTCTAATTTCTTAGAGTATCTTCTTATATCTGAGGATATTACAGTTCTTAGAAGTTTGTTGGATTCTTGAGAATTGCTTTTTGTTTAGATCTTTCACAATTACCCTCAATTTCTGGTGATTTTCTTTTTAAAGATTTTATTTATTTGAGAGAGAAAGCATGAGCAGGGGGAGGGGCAGAGGGAGAAGCAAGGTTCCCACTGAGCAGGGAGCCCGATGTGGGGCTTGATCCCATGACCCTGGGATCATGACCTGAGCCGAAGGAAGACGCTTAACCGACTGAGCCACCCAGGTGCCCAATTTCTGGTGATCTTTAGCTGTCTTTATTTAAAAGTGAAGCACTGAACACCTGTTTGGAAGACTTGTGTACATGGGCAGGGCTTACTGATTGGCATTCTCCACTGTAAGGGGATTGGTGGCCAGCTGGCTTTTTGGTGGGGACCCTCAAAGGTCAGCATCTGTCTTTTCTTTCTAAAGTTGTTTATTTTTTCCATGTAAGCATCCTCCAAATCCTAGAACTGAACAAGGATAAGGAGCTAGGAATCTAACTTCCCTGGTATTAGTAAAATTGTACTAAATCCCTATTCCTAGCCTAGTAATCCTGAGACGGATGTCTACTTTTTCCTTTTTTAGTTGAATTACCATCAGAACTTCAGCTGCTTCCAACATCAGAGGCCATAATATAAAATCCTATTCAAGTTAGACACATTCATATATGTTTTATTAAGGCTCCTAAATTAAAATGTGTTGTTTTGGGGACGCCTGGGTGGCTCAGTTGGTTAAGCATCTGCCTTCAGCTCAGGTCATGATCTCAGGGTCCTGGGATTGAGTCCCGCATCGGGTTCCTTGCTCAGCAGGAAGCCTGCTTCTCCCTCTGCCTGCCACTCCCCCTGCTCGTGCTTTCTCTCCTTCTCTCTCTCTGACAAATAAATAAAATCTTTAAAAATAAAATAAAATAAAATGTGTTGCTTTGAAGGTAGGTTCTTGCAGTTCTAAACACAACAGTCAAAATTGCAGTGACAGGAAAAAATGGAAAAACCTCCCACAAAAAAATGATTTTGTCTTTAGAACTATTTTTCATTGAAAGAAGTTTTTTGTTTGTTTTAAAGTAGTCTCTACACCCAACGTGGGACTTGAGCTCACAACCCCACGATCAAGTGTTGGATGTTTTCTACCAACTGAGCCAGCCAGGTGCCTCTAAAGGGTTTGCTTTTTAATTCCTACAAACACACTTTACTTTCCAATTTTCAACCTCAAGAGCACCCCACAGCAAACCTAACTCTCTTTGTGTATATAATCTAGTCCCTACCAACCACCTTCTCGTATGTCAACTGAACTCTAACACACATAAAAAAGGAAGATGAGCAAGCACAGGGACAAACCAGGAAAATAAAACTACAACGTGGAACTAATTTTCAACAGGGAGATAGTATCAACAAGGAAAATGAGATCCTAGTTTTATAATGAGTTAAATATACAGAATGCCAATTCTTTGTGGTATTAAATAGTAATCCAATGCAAACCATGGTTTCTGGAATAAGGTTAAAAAAAAAAAATCTAACAAATACCTGAGTGAATATAACAATATGGTTAGACCAAAAAGAAAAATCTTTCACACACAATAATCACTGCAAGAAGATCCCACAGGTTATAGAAAACATAAAGGAACTTTAATATCCAAACAGTCAGGGCAAAGAATACTGGATTAACGACCCATTAAGTGTGAATCACTTCAGGTTCTTTACAGTACCAGATGTATTTTATAGTAAAATCTGAATGCATATTGCAGAGAACGAAACCATTTTTAAAACTTTAATTTCCTTACCTGATACTAATACCAGTATTATTTTTAGACTAAAAAATCTTTTAATGATTTTAACACTAGGAGTAAGATTTAAACCAAAGTTAGCAATGTTCCTGAAATGTCAATTTGTTCAGTAGTAACTTTTTTGAGAAATACCAGTTTCTTCTCAAAAAGTAGTTAATGTACACTTTAAAATTTGTGCAATAAGAAAATATACTGGCTAATAAAAAGTGTTACTTGAGAAAGTCAAAATGAAAGAAAAACTATACTTTTGCTTAAATTACTTATGCCCAAATAATTTACCCTGCAGTCCACAGATGTACAGGAAATAAAATATTTTTGAGTAAGAAAAATAATAAGGGTCTTAAAATAGAAACATAAACCAGAAGAATCTAAAAATAGCTTCCTGATATTTTACTTTTTGAGTATTTCATTTAGGCTGCTTCTGGTCCCATGTCCTGATCTGTAGACGTTAACAAGGAAATAAAATTCCCAAGTATTTAAAAAATTTACTCATCTTCCATAAAGCAACTTTTAATGTATCAACACTTAAAAATACACAGTGACGTACGTAATGAAACATCAGTACAACTGCATAGAATTGAGCTCCAGAGAATTAAACACTTATGAGCTGTCTTTCCTGGGCTCTGGTTTACATGAATATTGGCTTTAGAGACCAGCTTCATTTGCTCCTACCTGGAAGAGACAAGGCCAGGAAACTTAAGATTTCATAGGCCTTTTCTGTTGCTAAATGCTAGGAGCTCTCTGAAGGTCTTAAAAACAACAAACCATCCAAATATGTATACTGAGGACTCTTCCCCTTTGTGAGTAAAGAAGAAAGTTTGTGACTTTCACTGAAAACAAAACAAAAATCTCCCACAACTCTTCTAAGAGACTCTGAAATGTACTAGAAATTTCAAAACTAGAACAATGCCATCAAAGATTAAACCTAATGCTCGGAGCCACCCCAAAATAATAAAATTGGGAACTCCAGGAAAACAGGTACCAAAAGAATCAAAATAATGATTGCACTGAGGATTCTCCTCTTTGAAGGCTGTTTAAGGAGGTAGGATTTTAAGGTTTTTGTTTTGTTTTGTTTTGTTTATCTTTTGGCCTCTGAACATTTAAAAAATGCTTTGCCCGGCTGGTCCTTCAGGCTGATTTTGAAGTGCACAACGAACTCCAAGCCTGATATAGGATATTCTACAGTTTCACAGCTATCATTTGTACGTATTAAAATTAAGTTAATTTACTCTTTTTGAGTAAATATAACTAGAAAATGGCAAATTAATATATTCCTTTACATACAACTTTGTGTCTCAAAATTCTTGAAAAACAAGAGCAGATGACTTTGTATTCAAAGACTACCAAAGTGTGTATTTGATATTCACATGCAAACAACTTAAAACCTTAGAAATCTCCTGTCAACTCTGCATGATGCCTTTAAGAAGGAAATGACATACAAAGCTTGCTAACTGTGCAAAATATTAAATTGCTAAAACATTTTACAGAATGAAACAATACACATAAATGTAGAAGTTGACACATGAAATTAACACAGGCTCATAAGAACGTCTCACATTTCAGAGATTTTCTTTAGTAGCAAGTTTTTGTTTTTATATTTCCTGGTACACAGCAAAGTTTATCACAGAAGATAAAAATCCTTTAAACAAATCCAAGAGGGAATTCTTGAGGCACCTTCTCATATAAAACACAAAATGAATGCAATTATCAATCCATCTGAGAAAAGTTTTCAATCTAAGTGAACATCATTTTTTTCCCCATTTAAGTATATTTTACAGAAATTTAATAAGGCAAGACAAATTTGTGAAAAATGTAGTTACAAAAATGATGTAAACTTATAATTTATATTTTAAAACCCCAAAGGGAAAACAGTGGAGATGGGACAGTTCAAACAATGCTTTTAAAAAAACAAAAAACAAAAAACCCTAAAACAGAATTGTGCACAAGCTGAAGATTACAAAGAACTTCTAGACTTTGCACAGTTTTGGTTCTTCATTTTTTTTTAACATCTTTATATTACATGTTTTAAATCATATCAGGAATGCAAACTAGAACTGCACACTACTTTAGTGGAAAAAAGTTCAACATTGTGCAATTTTCTGCCTCTTAATTTTAAAAAAGTGGCAGCAATCCCTGCATTTGTATTTGAAACAAGGATCTGAGAAACTTTATCAAAAAAGGTAATGAAGGCAAAAATTGGCAGACATCCAGCATCTTGTTTCTTTTTAAAACAATGTGGATGATAAGTAATTTCATGATTAAAAAATGAATCTTTTAAATAAATACATTGTATCTGACATTTGCACTGACTGATTTGATAAATCTTTAAGTAAACAACGGCTTTACTACACTCCCTGTAGCCTCAAGCCACTGGCTTTAGATTATGGAGTCCTTTTTCACTGGGTTTCATACCCTGCCACTCGATACCCTGCAGGCTGATTAGGCAACATGCTGCCATTCTGTCCTGGAGGTGGCTGCACTCCATAATTTGGTCCCATCCATGGTGCAGAAGACTGTGTCTGACTGGTAGAAAATGTGAAAGAAGCAGAGAGGAGGGGAAATCCACTGATTAAAATAAAATGTAATGCCGAGAAAAAATAACATATACATAGAAAAAATACTTTTACTTAAGCCCAAATATAAGAATAATGGTTATGCCAAGCAAAGGCAAAAGTTTTTTCTCTTAAAAACAAGCGTCCTCATAGTGTTTAATTTGTGCAGTTTAATTTTGTTAGTTTAATATAGCTAAAAAAAAAAAATATATATACCCTTTACCTGTAAACATTTCTCTCCTTTGAATTCAGAAAAAAGTCATTTCTAATCTCAGAAAGGAAAACTGTGCACCTGGGTTAGACATAAATTGAACAAACCACTACCTGAAAGAAACTCGCATTTGGCACAATAGAGACTACCACTTAGATTACTCCAAAGAAAACATTAAAACAATTATTAGCGTATGTAAGCTCATAATATTTTTCAACATTACAAATATAAGGTTCTTTTATTTTTTAAAAGATTTTATTTTTAAGTAAACTACATCCAACACAGGGCGCAAACTTATAACCCCAAAATCAAAAGTCTCATGCTCTAATGGCTGAGCCAGCCAGGCACCCCACAAATACAAGATTCTTTTAAAATAAAAACTGCAAAGTATTTTTAGTTTCTTTTTCAAAAATTTAAGTGAAATTTCATAATTCAAGGTGTATAAAGAAGCATTCATATAACAATATGTAATAAACCCTATAGTGCAGAAAAAAAAAGCATAACGAATAAAACAACTAGCATCAAAATAACTGTATCCAAGAATGGCTAAATGATCATTACTCAAATAAAAAGCTTAGCAATTATTAAGCTCTCATTTTCTTACTTTAATATGAGTTGATTCATTACCAAGCATTACTAAAATTCTTTTAACACTGGTTATGCCTCAGAGCAGCACATTTCCAGACAAATTTTTAAAGAAATACACTTAAAACTATAAATTAAAAACAGCTCTAAACTAAGTCCTTCAATTAAAAAAAAAATTAAAAAAAAAAAAATAAACTAAGTCCTTCAAAGGCTAAAACTTGCTTTAGACAGAGGACCACATTACCTACTAATTACTTAAAATCTCTTCCTAAGTTCTTAACTTTTTCAAAAGCTAATAACAAAGGAGAAAAGAAAATATGCTTACTTAAATCCCTGCTGACTCCACGCCTGGCCATACATTCCGTATGCAGGTACCTGCCAACCATTAGGCATATACTGGCCAATTTGTTGTGCATTTCCATACCACTGGCCCCACTGGCCATAAGCTTGTGGATACCCAATTTGATTCTGCTATTAAGTAAAATTATAACAAGTAATTTAGTATTATTTGAAGTTATATGTACACATTCACTCCTAATGTACCACAAATATATAGCCATAACACATAGGGCCATCATTGCAATTAAAATAAAAGGATAAACAAGAGTTTATGAGATAAATGCATTAAAAAAAAAAAGAGTGAGGTTATACTGCTGTAACTCTTCCTCATGCTCTAAATGGCACACTCTTTGTAAGGCAGTAGGTAATGTCCCAATAATAAATATCGAACTCAGTACATGTTTAAGTGTTTTGTAAATTAAACTAGATAGGGAAAATAGAAAAGATTACTTATTCCTATATTCAGTTTACCTAAAAAACTTATATAGCTTATATAGTTTAGAATTTTCTTATTCCTTTCTTGGTGCTCCATTTACAATTTGTTCACAGAAAACTTTTTTTTTTTTTTTTAAAGAGAGAGAGTGCAAGAGCATGCAAGACAGCGGATATTAAGCAGGCTCCACGCACAGCACAGAGCTGATGCGGGTCTTGATTTCACGACCCCGGGATCATGACCTGAACCGAAATCAAGAGTCAGATGCTTAACTGATTGAGCCACCCCAGGTGCCCCCTCACAGAAATCTTTATGGGATCACATCTGAACCATTAAAGCTGCCTGGAAAAACATAAGCAGCAAAATCTAGAAAAAAATGCCAAGGCTCTAAATATATTTATAGCTTTTGTTCCAACTGAGTCAAACATGTTTGTGAGTTCTCCAAATAGTATGTGAATAAATCTACCAAGTGTTAAGAAAAAAGCCAGAACACCCTGTTAGGTAAACTACCACTCTAGAACTATAATACATACAGGAAGAGCCCTTATATATTATCATTTTAGCTAGAACCTATTAACAAGGATTATCAATAATTTCATTTTAAAATAACCTATTATTAGCCCAGCAATTACTCTACAAAGTCAAGAATCCTCTCACCTGTTGCACAGGGTTTATCATATCAAGAGTTTCTTTGCCCCAATAGCATTTCACGACATGACCTTCAATGGTAGTTCCATTAACAGAAACGATTGCATGTGCTGCACTTTCATGGGAATTGAACCTATTGAAAAGAATATTAAGAATCACCAATATAAACTGTTTAAGGTACTTATGAATAAAACCCATTTTTAAAAATCAAGCTGAGCCTGAGGTATAAGAGGCACTTCACGCAAAAGAGTAAGATGGTATATTTTCTTTGGTATATTTTCCCAAAAATCCTGTAGTTCTGAAGAAACTTCTTTTAACAGAGAATGTTTTATTGATCTTGTGGTTACAAGGAAGGAGCCACTAAAACACAGTGGCAAATACTGCTAAATGCTAGAGAAATTTCTATTTCTTTACAACCAAGGTACATTTTTAAGAAAACTACTAAGTTAAATATTCAAAATGATTTTTGGGGAAAAAGTTTTTTTAAAAAAAAAAACCACCCATACCGAACAAATGAATATCCTTTATCTGGAAAGACTCGAATTTCCATTATTTGTCCAAATGGTGAAAAAGTCTGACGCATTAGTTGTTCTGTTAGATAAAAAACAAAAATAAACCACACCAAGTTATATAAAATCCTACAGACATTAAGCTTTTCAGTTAAAAAATTAACCTCAAAATGCCACACAGGTAAGGCTCCCATACCTGTCAGCCCGGAAGTGACACCTCCACAGTATACAGTACAGTTGCTTGGACTAGACTGATTTACAACCTCATCATATGATAGCTGTTTGGTGTTTGCTGGGGAGGGAAAAGTTTAATATTTTAAATTCATTAAATAAAATGTTCAGAAAGAAAAAAGCAGTATCAACTACCCTACTATAATGGTAATTTTTACCTTGACCAAAATGCATAATACATAATACATCTGATTGAGGATTAAACCTCCCCCAAGAACGTCTAAAAAATTACTCAATATTCTCTATTTAATAGGAGACTTGACATTAAAGACAATATCATTTATTATTTAAAATTACAAAAATGAAAACTAAGTACATTTTGAACAGTAGTCTTGATTTGCTTCTCATCTATTTCTGCAATAAGTCTCCGGGAACAGCTCTAACATTTAAAATCTAGTGTATTTTTCTCCAAAATTCCACATTTCCTTTTCTTCTCCAATACACCTACACTCATATGTACTCTTTGGAGCTGGAGGCTTTCGGGTTGCCCAGTTAGTTCTGATTTGTCTTCCACCAAGCCACTGGCCACCCATCTGTTGAATGGCGTTTTCAGCATCCTGTTCCGCACAACATTAGAAATGACAAAGAAGCCACCATTAGTTGATGTTGAAAGACCATTAGCAGTAGAGAAAATTCAGTTGCTTTTCACAAATGTCTACTGAATGAAAATGTTTTATAAAATACACAATATACAATATGTTTCCTAAAATGCAATGGTGCTTTTAAATTATCTCTTTTATTTGGATATCAGACTTTGGGAATGTTAATTACCTGAAAAAGTTCAGAGCCCCAAAGCCCTTATGAGATAGCTATTATAAAGTTCATGTAATAACTCAGACTATTATGAAAATCTCACTTTATACAATCCAACAAACTTGTGACAATATTTGGTTTCTCATTCATCCAACAAGCAAACAGTGAATAGCTACAATGTTCTAGGCAGCAGATTAAGTGCTAGGGATTCACCGGTTAATGAGACAGACATGGTCTCGGCTGCCACAGAGCTCACATTCTTTTGGGGCCACAAACTTATCACAAATTGTGGTAAATGCCATGACAGAAGCAAAAGGATGGGAGGACCTGGCTGGCTCAGTTGGTTAAGCATCTGCCTTTGGCTCAGGTCATGATCCCAGGGTCCTGGGATGGAGCCCTATGTCAGGCTCTCTGCTCAGCTGGGAGCCTGCTTCTCTCTCTGCCAGCCAATCCCCCTGCTTGTGCACTCTCTCTAATACATTAAAAAATAAAAAATTTAAAAAAAATTAAAAAAACACAAAAGGGGGGTGCCTGGATGGCTCCATCGGTTAAGCGTCTGCCTTCGGCTCAGGTCACGATCCCGGGGTCCTGGGATCGAGTCCCGCATTGGGCTCCCTGCTCAATGGGGAGCCTGCTTCTCCCTCTCCCTCTGCCTACCTGTGCTCTCCCTCTGTATCAAATGAATAAATAAAGTCTTTTAAAAAAATAAAATTAAATAACACAAAAGGATGACCTACAGAATATGGGCTTTGGGATCTACTTCAGACAGCATGATTAAGGAAGGTCTCTCTAAAATATATCATGTATGCTGACACTGAGAGGAATAGGAGCTAGCCAAGTCAAAACTCCAGGGAACAAAGCCCTTGTGAAGAGAAAAGCATTGCGAAGTGTGTTCCAGCAGCAAAGAGTTTGGGATGTATCTGAAAAAAGCATGTTGGGGCACCTGGGTGGCTCAGTCGGTTAATGGTCTGCCTTCAGCTCAGGTAAAATCCCAGAGTCCCGGGATCAAGCCCTGTATCGGGCTCCCTGCTCAGTGGGGAGCCTGCTTCTCCCTCTGCCCCTCACCCTGCTTGTGCGTGTTCTCGCTCTCTCAAGTGATATATAAAATCTTAAAAAAAAAAAAAAGGCCATGTTAAAGACAACTAGTTTCAGTGGAATCTAGTGAGCTAAAAAGGGTGTCAGAGGAAAAAACTAAAAGATTTTAAGTAAGAGATTATCATGATCTGATATATGTTTTAACAAGGCCATTCTTAGCACTAGGAAGAGAATGGTTTAGGGAGGTGCCCCTGTACAACACATTTAAACAATTAGATCCCAGGGCGCCTGGGTGGCTCAGTCAGTCAAGTGTCTGACTTCAGCTCAGGTCATGATCTCAGGGTCCTGGGATTGAGCCTCAAGTCAGGCTCCTTGCTCAGCGGGGAGTCTGCTTCTCCCTCTCTCTCTGCCCTTCCCCTCCATCCACGCTCTCTCAAATAAATAAACAAACAACAACAAAATAAACAATTAGATCCTAAGATACCATGTTACTATGTGAACAGCTGAGATATAATTGCAGTGCACTCTACATTCTCTTACCCAAACTTGCAAGCCATGTAAACATTTTTAAGGCAAATTTCTTATTTGGAAAATAAATTTTGGGCAAAATGGTTGCAAGCTGTTATAGCAATTATCTGGATAGTAATAGTAAGAGTTCATATAAGGAATAACCAGACAGTTCCAATGTAAGCAGACACAGGAACTAGTAAAAAAAAGTCTGATGATATTTGGTGTTAACTGCAAACAGATATATTTTTTAAAAAAGTCAGAAGGAACTGGCACAATAACCAATGGTCATAAACTTCACCTAAAGCCATTAAGAAAGGATACAGTATCTATTTCAAATACCTTGTTTATTAAAGAAAACCTTTCTAAAATACATTTCATACTATCAAAAACTTTTTTCTTTAAAGATTTTATTTATTTATTTGACGGGGCGGGGGGAACACAAGCAGGGGGAGTAGGAGAGGGAGAAGCAGACTCCCCGCCGAACAAGAAGCCCGATGTGGGGCTCAATCCCAGGACCCCAGGATCACGACCCGAGCCTAAGGCAGATACCCAACGACTGAGCCACCCAGGTGCCCCCATACTATCAAAATCTTTTAATAGCTCATTTTCTTTAAACTTCTTTTTTTTCCCTTAAAAAATTTCTCTATGCCTAACATGGGTCTTGAACTCCAATCCTGAGCCAGTCAGGCTCTCCTAATGGCTCATTTTTTAAGGCATTCTTTTTTTACCCTCTAAGGTATTCTTACACAGAAAGTACAGCAGTGTTTCTGTAACTTATCTTTGGCAAATGACAGTCCTAACATAGAAGCAATACACTAAAATCTAAGGTTAACGAAACCTTAGTATATATTCCAAGGCATATATATATTCTCCCACTTTCACCCCTGTATTTTTGAAGTGTGGCATCCCTGACATTTAATTGTTTTGAACCTTAGTTATCACACTAAAAGAGGTAAATCATTTATTTGAACTTATAATACATTTACAAGGTTCAAACTTCAAATAGTACAATACTGTGAGAGGCTTCCCACTCTGTCCCCCATTTGCCTCTCACTTCCACCTCCCAAACAGGAAACTCCACAGCAAATTTTTTGTTTATCCCTGTGAGAGGAACACACATACCCAAAAAATACACACTCCCTTTTTTACACAAATGAGCCTTTTCAATTAATTTACCACAGAAATATTTCTATAATCAGTATTTATAGACTCCTTTTATTGTTCCATAAGTACTAGCTATGGAAAGATTTCTATGGTATATATTTATTTTTTAAAACAACAGTACATGATTACATTGTATGGAGGATATGCCAAAGATTTCATCCCACTGACATACTGAAGATGAAGCTTTTCCTTCTGTATATACCCTATTCTCACCTCTCATTTGACAAACTGTACTATCCTTCCTTTTCTCCGCAAAACACAGAAATTTCAAGTCCATGCAAACTGGTATTCAATAAATGATTGTTAAATGAAAGAAATGAGAAGACATTTTCAAATACATTAGTATATAACTTCTAAAAAGTCCCCACCCATTGGAGCATTTTATTGTTTTTATTTTTTTTAAGATTATTTATTTTTTTAGTAATCTCTGTAGGTATCCTCTTGTGAAGGTGTTAATTATCAGTGAAATGAGCAAGTGGCAGATGAAAGATAATTATTAAAACAAAATGAGTATCTTTATTTTTTTTATTATTTTTTTATTTTTAAGATTTACTTGAGAGAGAGAATGAGATAGAGAGAACATGAGAGGGGGGAGGGTCAGAGGGAGAAGCAGACTCCCTGCTGAGCAGGGAGCCTGATGAGGGACTCGATCCCAGGACCCTGAGACCATGACCTGAGCTGAAGGCAAGGCTTAACCAACTGAGCTACCCAGGCGCCCCAAAATGAGTATCTTTGGTCTTTACTCTTAAAGCACCACACATGCACTTTTGAATTGAGCTCACCCATTTGTTGAAAAAGGAGACAAAGCCATATCCTTTAGACTTTCCTGTTGCCATGTCTTTTACCACTCTGGCATCTCTGAAATCAGAAATAATCAGAAGTTTAGGTTTGCAAAGTCTCCTCTGGATATCAAGTGAGAATGTCACACACAACTCATTTTTATGTTTCATCTTCATTAAAATGAACCTTTAATGCATATTCACCTTTTATTCTATAAAATTTATCATGTATTAGCAAATGAGGCTTAATAAACATGCAAATCAGTAACTTCTTAAATACATATGTATATATTGTACAAAAACTGCCTCCCATTTCAGAAAGTTTTTAAACTTTTAAATATTAAGCATGGTAAAAGCAGCTATTCATATGAAATTACTTAACCATTTATAGGGTTCACAGGCACATTAGATGAATGGCTTTCTTGAACCATGCAACTGATAATTTTCTATTTGACACCATATACTACCTAATCATTAAAAAAATTAAAATAGAAAACTGGAAACTAAAAGAATGAAAAGCTGTATATTTCCTAAATTAATTATTTTGTTTTCTCAGATCAATCGACACCCCCCTTTTGGACTATGGGTAAATTGAGAACTTGATGTTTTCAGAAATGCTAAATCATTGAAGAAAAACACTAGACACACACTTTAGTTTTAAACTACATAAGAAAAGATTTTATACTGAATTTTAAAATAGCGATCATATAAGATTGATTGGAAACTACAAGATATAAAAGCAAAATTTTAAAAAGTCAGAAAGTAAAAAAGCACGCCAACATTTATCCACTGTGAACCGTAGCTTGTAGTTAGCCAGGGCAATTCTGTCCATTCTTCAGAGATACTCTGCAAAATAACCAGAGCCCTATTATTTGAGATTGAGTAAAAAAACCCAGCCATGATAGCTAAAACTCCATACCTCAAAAAATTGGACTCAAATTGTGCTTCACAGGCAATCTGCTTTTAAGTTAGCCAGGTATGTCACAATGCTTGTTCTCTCAGGACACATGAACAAAACAGGCACTTTCACAACAAAAACCCAAGTCAGAAAGCCATGCAAATATAATTTTATATTAAAGTATACATAAGCATATTTCGATTAATTTAGGAGTGATTTATTAAGTGTTTAGGGTCAAAATGACAAAGAGGTGGTAGTGAAAAGGGAAAACTAATGCAAGTCACTTCTCAATACGAAAAAATACTTATTAAATTATCGGTATGGTACACATGCATTTAATTTGGTAGCTGATTCACTTCTACACCAAAATTTGTTAGACTACCCTAAACTCAAGGAATAGAGTATAAACTGTATAAATTAGGGCAGGAAAGTACTATATCTTTTCTACTAAATATTTTAATAGGCCACCACTTACTGCACACCATCTATAAATTAAGTACTGTTGGAGGATTTTTACAGAGAATATCTGGCTATCATGAGAACCTTTCAATATATATTTATCAATTTATCTCCTTTAACAAAAAAATCAGGAAATGATGCTACCAACTGAAAATCGTTCTTTTAAATTTAGAAACACTAACTCCTTGGGTAGCCAAAAACTTAGACATTATATACATTACCTCCACTGAAAATTATAATCCATAAATTATAAAGGCCTTACCAAAAAATATATATATACATCTATAATCATGGTTGATCATAAGAAAAATCTAGGCTATAATTATGATACCAACATATTTAACAAAAAGAAATTACTGATCCATGATTAAAAAGTCATTATTAAAATTGGAATATCATTTAACTTAAACTCACTGATTGTTAAACAATCTTTATCTAATCCCAAACTAAAATCCCCATGTTTTCAGAAAAGCTACTTCAAGCAAAATCAAAGCATTTAATAAAATAGCTATTGAATCTGTTAAAATGTTAGAAAATTTTTTTCTTCTTAAAGTTAAGTTTCAGGATATGTTAGCCTTGAAATATATTTAAGTCTTACTTATTTCTGAAAGGATTCTCTAAGGAAGAAGCAGCAAAGATCTAGATCAGGGTTCTTTTATCCTTCTTTAATCCTTTTATGGTCCTGTGACTACTCTGAAAATAGGATAAAACTTACAAAGATACTCCACACCAAAATGAAAACAAACACAAAATTCTGTACACAGAGATTTATAGAGCTTTTGAGAGGCCAAAGGTTAACACCTTCCTGTCTAGGTATTTGAAAGCAAGCTAACCATCATCAAAACCCTAAGATTAAAAGGAACAATCAAGAAACTAGAACTTTATTTTCCTAATTTGTTCTCACAGACAAAGAAAAATGTTGCCCAACAAGAGAGTCCATTTATAAACCCTAATCTTTTGACTGCCTTTAAAGTTAGCCTCTACTTAGGGCCATTCCTTGGTCACTGTTCATTTTTGTCCTCCTACCAATGAACCACAACTCTTCAAATAAAAACTCCCCAAATTCCACCAATACTATTGGCATTTACTTTCCAGTCTCCTCACCTTCTCATCTCTGCTGTTGTTCTGTTCCTCAAACCAAACCAAAGCTAAAGTTTCCTTTTTACTACTCTTCTAGCTGGAACAACAATAAAAAAGCAACCAGAAACCCAAAAATTCTGTTTTCTAAATTCAGCAAGTACTTCTAAGAAAATACTATAATCAACTTATTCTTACTCTATTATGGCATGCTTTTCAAAATATTAAAATTCTTTTGATGAACACTACCTTGAGCGAGCTACTTACAAAGGGCCTAAACTATATGATTAATAACAAATGCAAGCAAGACAGTGCTCCACAAAATACTAAAAGGCATTATTATTAACAGTAACAACAACAACAAAAGGGTAGATACCTGGGGATTAATATTTAACAACTGTGCTTTTTAGGTTGAATTGTTAAGGTTTCTTTTTGTTAAAATATATTAACACAAAATGCATGGTATCATAGAAGTGTCCCAAGGGTCTAAATTCCTTAGTCACAGCAAAAGGTTACTAAAGATTATGACCAAGCTAAGCAAGACACTTACATAAGAAATATGTACAATAGCAAATTTGTCTTTTAGGAGCTAATGCTAACTGAAAAAGGATTTTAAAATAATTGAAGACCAAAGATTTATCAATGGGAAAACAATCTTTGGCTGTTAATGGCTTAAATAGTCTCTAAACAACATAATGAATTATATTGAAGGGTTAAAATTCATAACAGATTTTCAAATTACTTCTACATAAGCCTGTTTCTAATTAAAATCAGTTTAAATTTATCCTCTGTTACTTACGATATTCTTCCAAATGGTGCAAAAGCAGCTTTTATATCTTCAGTTGTAATTTCTGGACTGAGATCACCAACAAAGACATGGAAATGATCTTATAAGGGGAAGGAAGGGGGATTGAAAAGAAAAATAAAATTTTAGAATTTAAAATATACTAAAATCTATTCAATAAAATAATCTTAATTTATGGATTAAGTATAAGTAAAACACTATCCTATATCTATACAGATCTTATCAATTTTACACATAATGAACGAAGGTGATAATATAGGAAAGACTCTCTTAAAGACTGATATATCTAACTGGAAACTGACAGTTATATTTCTACTTACAGCCAATTATTATACTGGCCTAAGAAAATAAATAATATTTAACAAGCTTTGCAAAAAAAATTAATGACTTAATTACCATTTTAATAGTGATTATTTACATTTATCCAGTTTACCACTACATTAAGGTTTTAAAATTAAAATAAAATAGTGGTACTGTGAGTTATGTAGACTAGATTTGCCTCAGTTATTACAACTGACTGAAGCTAGCTACATGATATACTTGGTTTAACCATATTTTTTGAAGAACAATCAAAGAAATACCTTGCATTGCAACAGTTTGATGTTAAAGTATTTGACAGTTTTCTCAAAAGCCAACAGTTTTGGTTGCCCAGACATTACACCATTCAGTTTATGTGAATCCATGTGCAAGTGAACTAAGACTGAAGGCAACAGAATGAAAACAGTAATCCCTTCACTTTATATCAGAGCCATTAAAAAAGCATTGGAGAGAAATAACGATCCCATATCTGAAGTTTTTTTTAAAAAAGACAACGTTCAAAAAAAGAAACACTTTAAAAATACAAAATAGTTGGATCAACACTTTAAAAGGAACACATACATCAACTTTGACAAAGTATATTTGGAAAGAAAAGTTACCCCCATTTGGCAGGCCTTAAGCAACATATTGGGTTGCCATTTGGGAAACAGAGTTTCAGGAGCAACTCAAGCAATCAGAAGATCTGGTTTGAAGCACAGATCGTGACCTCAAGGAAGCAGGGTATCTTGCCCTTTAGTTGGTGAAAGTATTTCAAAGGCATCAGCTGCTACCATGGGGGTCAGAGAGCTTGAAATAGCACCAAAGTAGTGGACAAGCCACATTTGGTCAACACTGGGAAGAAGGGGGAAAAATATTGCCAGAGAGACAAACAGAAATACGACCCCCTCCCTCCCCCCTCCCCCCAATATCAAACAAAAAAACTTCAAGTGGTTAGTGAATACCCTTTCAAGAGATTTCATTTTATGTTTAAGAAGATACAATTACCTTGTGAACGCTGTGTGCTGACAACGGTACTACCTGATGACAAAGATTAGATTTGTTCTTAAATTTATTAACACAAACACATTCAATCATATCTTAGGATAACGATCAAAACATTACTGCAAACATGTATGATGTTTATATGCTTTACAATAAAACTACTGTGTACAATAAAAACAAATGTTCAAAGAGTATAAAATATACTTACTGCTTGTATCTTTCTTTTGACTGCTGGGGGTTGTTGCCCAATTCACTTTGACTTCCTAAAAAAATGTTTCTACATTTATACTCCATAAAAATAAAGGTCAAAATCAGATATTACAAGATTTGCATCTATAAACACACAGGAAGGCATATGTTGGAGATGAAACATTCAAGAGGATAACAGTTCTGGTCAAAGTTTCAATACTTACCTTGTAATCTACATTTTTTTTTTTTTAAAGGTTTCTTTTTTTTTCTTTAGGTTAACCTACACTTTCTCAAATGTTGGCAAATCCTAATCATACTTCTGTGTTAACATTCAACTAACCTTTCTTATCTAAAGTAAAAATCATTTTTCTTTTTATTCTTCCCCATTAGTATCCCAAGTTCTAGAGGTTTCATCCAAGCTTGAGTAATTCAACAAATATTTTAGTATTTACCATGTGTGAGGCATCCTGAAGAATACCAACATAAACATGCCCTCTAAAAAGCTTTATTCCATCTTTTAAATATTAAATGTGACCTGCTATAAAGTGATATAATGCTTCTGAAAGGTAATCAAATTGGAAGCGTCTGGGTGGCTCAGTTGGTTAAGTGTCCGATTCTTGATTTTGGCTCAGGTCATGATCTCAGGGTTGTGAGATCATGTTGGGCTCTGCACTGAGCGTGGAGCCTGCTTGGGATTCTCTCCCTCTGCCATCCCCGCCACCCCCGCTTGTGCGCTCGCTCAATAAATAAATAAATAAATAGTAAACAAAATTGTATACAACTTAAAAATTTCAAGTCACCTTCTTTAAATATGACAGCTTACCTTACCCATTATCTTCCGCCCATTCATAGCAGCTAGTGCTGCAGCTGCATGACGATGCTCATAAAATTCCACAAAACAGTATGGATCATTTCCAGCTGTCTGTTGAAGAAACACAAAAGCCAAATTTAAGTTGTATACTCCCATTATCTTAAAATTATGTGAAGTTTTATATATCTCAAATATCAGGCCAAGGAAAATGAAGGGGTCCATTCCACAAGTAAATCTTTAGATAAGGAAGTAAACACTTAAAAAAAAATGCAGTTTTTAAAGAATACTATCAACAAGTTATACTATAATACTACATATAATTTAATCTTGTATTAATGATTAAGTATCCTAATTATGGATGGATGCATATAGAAACTACACACACATTCCTCATCATATAATCATTTCTTTATGCTACGGATGTTAATTAAGTTTGCCTAGACTCTTATGCTCTCAAGTCACAGTACTGGCTTTTAATGATCTTTCCTCTCCCTTCCCTGTTAAATGTTACCTTTTACTACTATAAATGTACACATATCCTTGCTGCTTCTAACTTGCTAAGTAGCTGAAAATACCAGCCAACTTTCTTTTTTTTTTTTTAATTTTTTATTCTTATGTTAATCCCCATACATTACATCATTAGTTTTAGATGAAGTGTTCCATGATTCATTGTTTGTTCCAGCCAACTTTCTTAAACCTATTTCAGGCTCTGAAAACTGAAGAGGTTTTCTGGTAAACAAAGTTTTTAGAATAGGTTTTAGAATATGGCCTTTCAGACATCAATTTTTTGCCTATAGTCTTTTTTTTTTTTTTTTTAAAGATTTTATTTATTTATTTGACAGAGAAAGACACAGCGAGAGAGGGAACACAAACGGGGAGTGGGAGAGGGAGAAGCAGACTCCCTCCCAAGCAGGGAGCCCGATGCGGGACTCGATCCCAGGACTCCAGGATCATGACCTGAGCCGAAGGCAGTTGCTTAACCAACTGAGCCACTCAGGCGCCCTTTGCTTTTGTCTTTTTTTTTTTTTTTTAAAGATTTTATTTATTTATTTGACAGAGAAAGACACAGCGAGAGAGGGAACACAAACGGGGAGTGGGAGAGGGAGAAGCAGACTCCCTCCCAAGCAGGGAGCCCGATGCGGGACTCGATCCCAGGACTCCAGGATCATGACCTGAGCCGAAGGCAGTTGCTTAACCAACTGAGCCACCCAGGCGCCCCTTGCCTATAGTCTTTTAAAAATTCTCCTCTTTTCTGGTGTTCCAAGTAGTTGAGGTCTGGTAAGTGCAGCTTGGATGCTTTATTGTAAATTAAAGCAGCAGAAAAAACACCCCATATTTTACACCTATCTGCAAAATACAAAATGACTTTGAGTCCATTTTTTTAATTTTTTTTAAGATTTTATTTATTTATTGGACAGAGAAAGACACACAGCAAGAGATGGAACACAAGTGGGGGGAGTGGGAGAGGGAGAAGCAGGCTTTGCATGGAGCAGAGAGCCTGATGCGGGGCTCAATCCCAGGACCCTGGGATCATGACCTGAGCCGAAGACAGACGCTTAACGACTGAGCCACCTAGGCGCCCCTGAGTCCATCTTTTAATTCTTTCCATAAACTCCTAAGCAGAATTGTTAAAATAGGAAACTAATTCAAAAGACTACAATGACACTAGAATAAAGAAATTACTATTTTGTTTCAAGGACAATTAATCGTTTAAAGAAGTCACTGGCAATGATTTTTAAGAATGTCAGAGTAAGGAGGCAACCACAAAATTTATAATATTGAGACAATCATTTTATTTTAAAAACATTAAAGAGGGGCACCTGGGTGGCTTAGTCGGTTAAGCAACCTACTCATGTCATGATCTTGGTGTCCTGGGATCAACCCCATGGTGGGCTCTGCGCTCTCTCCCTCTCTCTCACACTTGCTCTATAAATTAAATAAATTTTTAAAAATCTTAAAAAAAAATTAAAGAATATAAAAGTGTTAAAAAAACTGCATAATTCAAACTAATGCTACACTTAATGGTAATTCTATTACAAAGGTGAGTGTTGGCAGGCATTAATGTTACACAAAGTAACTTACACTTCAGCATAATCAAATGAAAAAGTCTTAATTTTACTTAATTTCTAAAGAGTGCAGAAAAGACTGCACTTCTTTGATAAAAAGATCTAAGCATTCACACTACCAGCCTTTATATTCCAGAGAGTATAAAATTCGTAACTAAGAACATCAGTCCAACAGTATGAATAGACTGGAATTTAGACTTGTCTTTTTATATATGCTATGATTCAGGGTTAACAGCAATTACAGATGAATGGGAATTGCCACAATGCAAGAAAAGCTTGAATCATAACATTTAAAAGTTAAAAACGCTTTCAACACACACAAACACTTTCACAGTATATTATTTTTAACCCAATTTCCTAATGTAATTGTAGTAACTTAGCCAATCAACTGATAGCACATATAAAACAATTCTGATACCTCAATGCACCTTAAAACAAGAGCCTACATATAGTTCTTATTTGCTCTAAAAATAATTAGTTCTCTTCTCTTCCTCTTTTATTTATTAGTAAAGTAAGTTAAACTCAGTGGCTAAGATTGACTTAAATTCACTAAAATTACTAGGAATTTAGACTGTACACTTTTTTTTTTTTTTAAAGATTTTATTT